GCTTTTGGCTTTTAAAGACTATGGTCTTAAACTTTTGATCAGCTGAAAAAAATCGTTTTTTGTGTGTGTGAAAAACTCATGTTTGAGTGTAAATGCAGTTTTCAGAAAATTCCCTGCTCAAAAGTTCTTGTCTCTTGCACTGATTTCTTCTTTTAACATTGTGAAGCTCTACTTAGAACCTTCTTAAGATCCAATAGTGCAAAATGCAAATTCTTGCACTTTTTTGACTGGTCTTAAGATTTTGATCAGGAGTGTATATACTAATTGTTAGTTGTGTCTACGAGGATGCTAGGATACTAATTTAGCAGGAAAAGAAGTTGTAGGACTATAAATCAATGCTAACAGACATACAATTGCTGCTTTCTTCCCCTTCAGGATTTAAGGTTATCGAAAGACTTTCAAGGACGGCATCCTCCTTTATGGATTTGCAACAGGGCAGTTTGAATTAGCTTCTACACCTAGCCAAGCTCAGTAAAACTCAAGATGGCAAGCAGGAGGAAGTCCACCACTCCCTGCATGGTCCCGCCTCAAGAAACCATGGAGTCGGATCAGGAGATGGAGGACGCTATGGACACGTCAGATCCCGAGGACAGTAATGGATTGTTGGCGGTTTCCTCGGACGGTCCTGCTTCGTTGGAGGAGCGAGGCGAGGACTCTGACAACAGACAGGAGCTGCTGCAAGACCCCTACCAGGACCTAAACATGGCAGAAGGGGGCTACGAGTGCAAATACTGCAGCTTCCAGACGTCGGAGCTCAACCTGTTCACCGTGCACGTGGACACGGAGCATCCCGATGTCGTCACTAACACCTCCTATGTCTGCGTGGAGTGTGACTACCACACCAAAAGGTAGAACGATCTCATTGTCTTTTTGTCTCCGCCATGAAGTCAAGTTGAAATACATATGTATCTGTTTATTGTATGTTTGTAATTTGTTGTTTGCCCATGATTTTTTTTGCGTTTAGCTACGACACGCTTCAAGCCCACAATGCTCGGCTGCACCCAGGTGAGGACAACTTCACACGGACAATGGTAAAGCGAAACAACGAGACCGTCTTCCAGCAGACGGTCAACGATCTCACTTTCGATGGCAGCTTTGTCAAAGAGGAGGACGACGAAGCGGAGGAGACGTCCCGCAAAGCCATCCCCCTCAGCAAAACCCCCATCATGAAGATCAAGAGCAGGTCGGAGCCCAAGAAATTCTCCGCGGCACACAAAATGACCGTGGACGACGACGTGATCAAAGTGGAAAGTGACGAGGACGACGAGGACGACGACGAGGAGCCTCCCAGGCTGTCGCCCGCCCCGATGGCCTCCGCTAGCTCCGCCCCTCGCCTCATCCCCGTCTCCGCGCCGGTGCAGGTCCAGGCCGTGCCTCAAAGCATCGTGGTGAACAGCTCCAACGTGATGCAGATTAAAAGCGGCTCGGGCGGGGGCGGCTCCGTGCTGCCCCCCGGGACACTGGCCCAGGTTCTGTCGGCCCTGCAGACCCAACAGAACACTCAGACTCAGCTCCTGATCCCCATCAGCAGCATCCCCACCTACAACACTGCCATGGACAGCAACGTCCTGCTCATCAGCGCTTACAACAGGTCATTGCACCCTTCACGTATTTTAAATGTTTTAACTTTATTCATCTATGAACATCTATTCTTTATGTTTTAGTTTTATTTAATGTTTTATTAATACATTTGAGCTTTTAGCCCAAAAACTATTCCTGAAGAGTTATACAGTGAATTACTTTCTTTTTTTTTTATTTGGGATCATAGAACTTATTACAAACAACTAAACATTAAGGTCCTTGCAGCTAACACTATAGGTCAGGACTTTAAATGAAGCCTTTTTTTATTTGCAGGTTTCCGTATCCATCAGTGTCAGAGATCGTGGGTTTGTCGTCGCAGACGAAGTTCAGCGAGGAGCAAATCAAGGTCTGGTTTTCTGCTCAGAGGCTCAAACACGGAGTCAGCTGGACACCAGAGGAGGTTGGTACCACGAGATTTGTGATACTGTGATACTGTGATGGATCTTTCACGCTTAAGACTGAAAAAAAAACTAGACATGGGTTTTTACGATGTAAAAACAAATGTGCATTGCCTTGTAGCATGTCATTGCCTGCAGCATTGGACTTGCAGAATGAAGTGTGACCAAGTTCAAATGTGTTTTCTAATTATTATCAGTCAAACACCTGCCAAGTCAGCAGGTGTTTGTAATGAGGGTAATTGTGTGACAATATAACAAACTGAAATTATGTAGTTTTACTGAAACAGTTTGTTTATAGCTGGGATTGAACCCTGATCTCCTGARYGAAATCCCACTGTGTTCACCATGAGACTGTAGGAGCTGTGGTAGAGGACAATCCCAGGGCTTGGATTGTATGTATGCAGAAAGAGTTTACCTTGCCAATACAATTATTGACACTAAACTTCATAATATTACAAAAATAGAGCAGTATTAAGACAATATTATTGTAAAACATCAAAATACAATCATATTAGTACAGTAAACACTGAACTACTGAGTTGAAATATTAAACTATGGTGCAGTACCAAGGTGAGTATAGCATGGGGCAGTATTGGACCAATAAAAGGCTCCATTGACTGCCATTATAATTCATTAAACATTAATATTTCATAAACTATAAGTTTTACAGGCACCAAAAGGCATAGCCATCATTTGGCACAGGAGCTTTACAGATATAAATTACAATGGCAGCTCTAGGACAAAGTATGCAGGAGGAGAAGCGTGGCAAAGTTGAGATGACTTGGATGGGAAACGAATCACAACAGTGTGCATTGCATTGGCAATGCACACTGATAACAGGCCAAGAGACACGCAAAGAGCTTTCATTTGAAAGATAAATTCATCAAAAGTTTAGAAGAAAAAGCAATGGTATTAGTCATAGATGGAGGAAACATGACWCAGTTTCTTACTTGTACAGTATCCTTTAACTTATTAAATAATATAAACCTTTTTATAAAATAAAAATAAACTTTTAATAATGCTATTTTATCAGGTTTGTGTAATAACATGAGTTTCAGCATGTGTTTTAATCTCAAACTGGATGCAGACTTTCAAACTTTTCTGCTGCTGCTTAGGTTCCTGGGAAGTCCTCAGCTCAGAATGAGTGATGCACCTTACAGATCCAGGCCTGCTTGATTTGTTGTCTGCCACTCAGTTCATTAGTTTCTTGATTTTAATTAAAATTTTCATATATTTTGAAACTCATAAAACAACAATGCCCACAGAGGTGATAAACAATTACTGGAAATCCTGACAAATAAAAGGGAAAGTGAAAAGTGACAAACACTGATTTTCAGTGTGGTTGTGGGTTATGGGTTGGGTTGTAAATGTTATTACAAAGTGTTTCATTAACTCACAACTGTTGATTATGGGAACTTGCTGGTGCCTCATCTTTATTGTTTTGCTTCCACTGTGCCCAGCTTCTGGAAATTAAATTGGCGATAACTTGTTATAGCTGTTGGCCATTTTGTATCTCCATTTAATTACTTCAGTTTACTGCAGCTCTCAAACTGTTCTCATTTGAGGCCTTTTGAAAATATAGAACCTGTGCATGTTTGACCCATCAGTAAGTTAAGTTTGAACCTTCTCTCACCAGTATGACTATAACCAGTTTAACCAGCAGTCAATACATTTAAGAAAACATACGGTCAGACATTTCACCTTCCAACTCATCAGTCAAGTTTTATTGACTATTGGAAAATCACCAGTAGACTCTCTACACTGTCTTGTTGTTTATACTTTAATAGCACACAGTTTAAAAGTCAAAGTTCAAACCAGCGGTACCACCTATAAGATCAGCCAATCAGAGGTCCTTCTAACTTTCTTTTGTTTTGATTTTGATTTTAAAAAATCAGTTTCTTTGCTTCCCAGGCTTCTAACAGTCACCTTCACTCTTTCTGTGTACAGATGTGGCATGCTTTGTATTTGTTTTTTATTATTTTTATTATTATTATTATTATTTTCAATTAAAAAATATGTATTAATTTCATTAAAAAATAACTATATACAATAACAAAAAATAAACCAAGAAAATACACAGATCAAAATAAAATGAAAGATAGCAGAAGAAGAATAAATCTGATTATGTCTATTTGCAACTAGGGTTGGGCGTTATTGGCAAAAAAAACTGATCACGATTAATTGCGATATTTAGCTGACGATGATTAATGTGATGATTAATCCCCTGGAGGCCCTCCTATTTTAGTCCACCCGCTTCGGATGTTATCATTAAATGGACGTTATTAGCCGTTATCAGCCCCATAGAATGGCTCCAGACTGACTTCAGACTGTCCCGACTCTGCCACCTAGTGGGTTCCCCGTCCCATAGAATGGCTTCAGACTGTCAGATGGTTAATTTGAGGCATAAAGCCACTGAGGTTAATTTTAGAGAAAATGACATGGGCTACGATAAAGTAGATTGGACAGATTGTTGCATTCCAATGTATATGGCACTGGTAACCCACTAGACTGGACTGTCGGGACAGTCTGAAGCCATTCTATGGGACTGATAACCGCTAATAATGTCCATTTAATGGACTGATAACATCCGAACCGGCTGTTCTAGTCACATGACCAATTTAAATCACTCTAGTGGAAAAGCTTTGCTCTCCATAAAAATCTGTTCCAACTTGTATCAAAAGTACAGACTTCAGGCTAAACATCAGTTTTTTAATTGTGTTGATAGTCCCAGTAAAACCAGAGATATGATAAATAAATTACAGGACTTTAAAAAAAAATGTTCGTCATTTGAAGCTGTTTGCACTTCTTTTCTAAAGACAGCAAACCAGCAAATTTATGCGTTTATTTAAACCTTTAGCTTCTCTTCCCTGCAGGTAGAGGAGGCGAGGAGGAAGAAGTTTAACGGCACAGTCCAAAGTGTCCCTCAAACCATCACCGTCATCCCCGCCAACATCGGCGCAGCTGCAAACGGCCTGCAGTCCATCTTTCAGACGTGTCAGATCGTCGGGCAGCCGGGTCTCGTCCTCACTCAGGTGGCTGGCAACGGCAGCACCGTGCCGGTGGCCTCTCCCATCACCCTGGCAGTGGCAGGGGTACCAAGTAACCAGCCCAAAGCTGCCGAACCTTCAGCGCCTGAATCGAACGCCGAGATGTCCAGCTCCTCAGCCAGTTTGTCCCTCAGTTTGGACGCAGCAACGGCAAAACCAAAGAAGTCCAAAGAGCAGCTGGCAGAGCTGAAAGCGAGTTACAGCAAGAGGCAGTTTGCCACTGAAGAGGAGATATCGCGCCTCATGCAGGTCACCAAACTCTCCAAACGAGCAATAAAGAAGTGGTTCAGTGACACGCGCTACAACCAGAGGAACTCAAAGGATCACCACCTGCTTCTGAGTGAAACTTCGTCCAGCAGAGTGGCTGCGTCCGGAGGAGGCCGAGGAGGAAAGAGCAGCAGCGCCTTCCTCAACGAAAACCTCAGCAGCGAAACGCCCACAAACACCGCTGCCGCCACCATCGTTATCGACTCCAGCGACGACGCCAGCGACTCCTCCCCGACGTCCGCCAACGCCCCGAGCTCATCGGGGCCGACGAGCGACCCACGTGTCAAATTCCGCCACGCCTTCCCCGACTTCACTCCGCAGAAGTTCAAGGAAAAGACTCGGGAGCAGCTCCACATTCTCGACGCCAGCTTTCAGAAATCGGACCAGCCTTCGGACGAGGAGCTGAGCCGGCTGCGAGCAGAGACCAAGCTGACGCGACGGGAAGTGGACGCTTGGTTCTCAGAGAGGCGGAAAGCTTTTCTGGCAGCGCAGTCGAGAGACAGCGACGCTGAGGGTGACTCGGACAAGGTGTCCACGCCTTTAGACCAGGAACAGAACACTCCCCCTGTTACCAGGAAGATCGTGAAGAAGACTCCAGAGCAGCTCCACATCCTGAAGAAGGCCTTTGTTCGCAGCCAGTGGCCAACGTCCGAGGAGTACGACGAGATGGCAGAGGAGAGCGGCCTGCCCAGGGCGTACATCGTCAACTGGTTTGGAGACACGCGCTACTCCTGCAAGAAYAGCAACCTGAAGTGGTACTACCTCTACCAGAGTGGAAAGGTGCATGAATTCAGTTTATCTCAATTTATCTGGAGTTTCTAGATGTACGTAAAGCATACTTGTTTAGTTCCGCAGTATCAATACTAGGGCTGTGTACTGGCAAGAATTTGGTGATACGATGCATATCATGTCACAGGGGTCATTATATGATACATCGCAATATATTGCAATACTGGAAGCAAAGAAATTGCCACTTTTTGTCCAAAATTTATAAAAATATTACTCAATTTTTTTATACAGATTTTATTTTTTTCATATTTCATCCACGTTTCAATCATTAGACTAAATTTGCCATTAAATATTTATACGTTTTGTGGCAGGTTTTAGATTTTAATATTAATTTACTACAAAAATATGGTCTCCCAACACTCCTCAGGAGTGGAGGAGCCAAATGGCTGGCTGGCTGGCTCACTGCTGCCAACTAGTGGTCGGAGGCTGAACTACAACATAAAAATGAACTTGAAAGTTTACATTTTAAATCCTAATTAAAACTCAATACATGGCTTTATAGAATCAATACATTAACTGGAAATGAAATATCCATATATTTCAGTGTATTGATATTTTCTTACACCCCTAATCAACACCCAAACCGGTTAAATCATCGTATTTGTACTTCTTCAAGGCACTCTGACTCAAGGTTTCTTTAAAACACTTGGTGACTTTAAGGTGGATGAGGCGCTGAACTGTGGAGCAAAGAGCAAGAAGTCCAGGAAGCGTTGCCACGGTTGGTCCAGGAGGATACGCCGTTCTGTGCCCTGCAAACGTTCTCCACAAGGGGGCGTCGGCGTCATCAAGGTCTGTGTGTTCAGATAACTCGAGCTAACCCCAGCTTAGAAATGTCAGATTTAGTTTTATTGTGATACTGCTGTTGGCAAGCTGGTTGTTGAACACGTTTTAAATATCTCCACGCTGCCGTTCTCTCCCAGGTGAAGTCTGGTAAGATGTTTCTTAAGGAATACTACCTCAAGCACAGAGCCCTGAGCGAGAAAGACCTGGACGATCTGGTGGCAAAGTCCAACATGAGTTACGAGCAGGTGAGAGACTGGTTCTCAGAGACCACCAGAAAGGTGGAGGAGGGCAAGGAGCCCTTTAGTGATGAGGCAGAGGAAGGGGAGGGAGACGACGAGGAAGAGGAGGAAGAAGTGGCGACAGCAGAGTGTGCAGACAGCGAAGGAGAAATGGAGGTGAGAGAACAAGGAGAGGCCTCAGATAACGACTGTGTTGGCCACGAAAAGAAGGAGGAGCCTGATGAGGAGGAGGAGGAGGATGAAGAAGAGGAGGAGGATGAAGYGATCCAGGAGGAATCTGAACGTGGCAGCCAATCACAGCCTCAGGCTGAGGAGCAGACATGAACAGGCAGGTGAGTTTCTGCAGCGAGTAAAATGAGCCGAGGTGAACGAAAGAATAATGTGTTTAGGCAAGAATTTAAAAACAGGCCGTGATTTTTAAAAACTTTCAAAATGAGTCCACACAGTGATCATTTTATCACAGAGTCCAACAACACTGCAGCCGAGAATTGACAGTTGTTTTTTTTTTGTGATTTTTTTATCAACACAATTGAGATCATCCATATTTTTTCCCACAGTTTTTGGCACCTATCTCATTCTGCCATTTTTGTTCTATTTCAAAATATTCGACATCAAAACATTTGGACCCTTCAGGACATTTCAGCTACGACTCCTGATATTTCAGCAAATACATTTTGAGATATTTAAGCTTTTCGTCCATTTCTTTTTATTTGAAAATGAATAAAGTTCCATTTAAAATCTATGAAACCCTTTAAAATATTTATAAACTTTTCACCTGTTCTGCTTTTTTACTAATTAGCTAATTTCAGCTTCCTTTAGCTTCTTTTTTATGGTTTTTCTGCTCATTTAAACTTGTTTGTACTTCCATCAGCTTCTTTTTTCTAATTTAGGTTTTTTATGCTTCTTCCAGCTGTTTTCTGCAATTTAAGCTGTATTTTAGCTATTTCAGCTAATTTTAGATTGTTTTAACTAAGTTTCAGCTTCTTGCTGCTTATTTCAGCAAATTAAATTAAGCTCTTTCTGCCTCTTTGGGCTAGATTCACCTTTTTCAGCTACTTATATTTTTTTTGCAAATTTTCTGCTAATTTCAGCTGTTTAAGCTATTTTATTTACAGCAATTTGCAAAATTGTTGCACCGTATTTTTCGGACTATAAGCCGCATCCCCCACCCCCCATCAGTAAAAACAAAAACAAAACAGTACACCCAAAACTGTGGTCAAAAAAGTGAATTCAACATCACGTTTATTTTTAAGAAAAAGGTTGGCAAGTTCACCAGTACATAATAATAATAATAATAATAATAATAATAAACTCTCGGAAAAGAGAGGTCTGGAATTAAAACATAAAAAGCAAACCTTTAGAAATTACCGGTAAAGTTCGGAGGAATAAGGTTCATTTAACTGACCTTATTTTGGTAGTTTTCTTTAACAGTTTCTGGTCCAACAAAAAGTCTCATTCATCGTCCTCCGGCGCACTGAAAACATCGAAGTCCTCTTCAGTTTCGGAGTTAAACAAGCTGAGAAAAGCTGCGTCACATAGCGGTATCTGTTGTCCTCCCGGGGTAATGCTGGCTCTGAAGCTGTGGTGGGAAAGCCCTCCCGCTCCAGCAAATGTCACTGCATGGGATTCCTTCCTCGGGGAGTGCAATGAGGAAAAAAAAAGTCAGCGGCTCTTCACTCTACGTTTATCCACGAACTGGTCCTGGATTAAGCTCCAGAGNAGTTTTTATCAGTCAGATTCCACCGTGAAAAATGTCTGTTTTATCCCCTTTTATGAGTTTTTGGCCATTGACTATCTTTAAATCGCTGCTTCCTGGTCAACAGACGGCTCTGGAAGGATCGCTTTTTTTCTTCTTTTTTTTTCTTTCTTTTTTCGAAGCGAGTGRTTGAAGCAAATGGAGCATAAGAGCCCCCTGGTGGCTGAAGAAAAAAAATCCATGTATAAGCCGCACCGGTCTATAAAAACCGCATGGTTCAAAGTTCAGGAAAAAAGTCGCGGCTTATAGTCCGAAAAATTCGGTACATTCTTCTGAGAAAATGCAAATTCTCTGCTTTATTTTTGTTTCTTCATCCCACAGATTTCCTGTTGCTTCCCTCACCGTGGAGCTGACGCAGAAGATGATACCCATCAGTGTTTCTCAGCTGGCGGGTCGGGACCCAGCAACGGTGGCAGATAGCTCTGATGACGTTAAGAGTCTGTGCCTTTAAAAAAAACAACAAGTTGGGGTCACGATGCAGCTGAAAACCACTGAGGAGGAGTTTCAAGACACCCGGTCTGGATTTAGTTTGTCCTGACTGATGAACAGTGGGGACCAAGCAAACTGGAGAAAACTAGGCCTTTCACTAAACACGACGACGAGTGTAAGTTCCTGCACTGCTCCAAGCTTTCTGTCCTCTTTTTCTGAAAATGGCTGGGCTTTTATTTCGGCCCTAAGATTTCTTTTTAAACTCACAAAAACAATTTGTAAAGGAAAACAAAAAGAGTTGGGACCTTGCATGATTGTCTTTGTTTTCCATTCAAGAACTAAGAATTTTTTTTAAGAAAATATCTCAAACCCATTATGAAAAACATTTTTTTTAAATCCTCACTTTTCTGTCAAGCAGTGCAAATTAGTGCCATTCAGTTTATGAGTTTGTTTTAATGAAAGAAAGAGAAAAAGTCTGGAGTTGATTTCAACATCAGTGTTTTAAATTTTTGTATATTTTTTTCGAGTTATTTGCTACAAGATTGATTATAATGCAAATCAAATCCATTATTCTGTCAAGATACTGTCAGGAAATCTCTTAAAAATGGTTGTGTTTCTGATGTTTGCAGGTGTTTGGGTCCATTCCGTTTCAATGAAATCAAATATCTGAAGCAAAGCGTGACGGGATCTCAGCAGAACAAAATCAGAAACAGGGAAAGAAATTTACAGAAATTAGCATAATGGAAGCAAACATTACTGTGTAATTAATACTAAGTGATGCTGTCACAAATTCACCAAAAACTCTGATTTTGGGTTTTAATTTTTAAGTTGTAAACGAAAGAAATTCAGAAACCTGAACAAGCTAATTTGGTTATAGAAAACGAAAATATTTCTAAAGCTCATTTTAAAAAACAAGAAATAAAAATACATTTTATTAGATAAGCTATTTAAAGGACCGATTTAAGGGATTTTTATTTTTATTTAATCCACAGTAATCCTGATTTCGCGCCACTACCCATAATTCGTAGCAGAAGCACTGTTCTCTTTTTCCGGTTGGTGTTGTTTATTATTACGAGGATACACCATCGCTGTTTATCAAAGCATTTTTCATCAAAATTWGRCGTAGATGGCCACATATCAGAGGTTTATATACTGTAAGGATGTTTTAAAAAGCGGCRAGGACAATTCTTTATCAGTGGCTCAGCTGCCACTGCTCACGGACTGATGATGCTATGTCCCGATGTTAGCTAGTAGCTACTACTGACATCAGCTACCTCGTCTTTCCCCGAAGACGCACACATGCAACATCATAAAGGTCAACCGTTCTGGAAGTAAAATATTCATAAGCCCCTCAGAATTGTAATAATTTTATAAAATATTCTGAATAGACGGATTCTCCTCCTTATTCTAAGCAAAAAATTCACTGGCTGCTAGTTTGCTAGTAACTTTTAGAGATGAACTGGAGGGTTTCATACAGATGCACTCTTTTTAAATAAATGATAAACAAAAATAAACTGCCTCTAATAACTTTTTAAGCATATTTTTTATTTAGACAAACCCAACACTTTTGTAGCCCCTAAGCTCGTTTTTTAATCCCACCATGATGTAAACAACATATTTTAGCACGTATTTGAGAAGAGGGTTGTTTATTATTCTGAGCGTACTCAGAATTGAGACAGTTAAATTAAGACATTTATATAGTTATGCCAGCATGCGGCTACTCACCATAGGCAAAATATTTCTTTAAAGTTAAGATTAGCTGCAAATAACATGCTAAACAACCAGGCTAACATTAGTTAGCGCTGATGCTAACACCATTCACCGTAGGCTTTCATTCAGTAAAAGCAAAGAACTGCATGATTAAATAACGACGGGACACACAACATTTAGAGTYTAACTCACCAGGTACTTGGGCTGTGTAGTGGCAAGAATTTGGTGATACGATGCATATCATGTCACAGGGGTCATTATATGATACATCGCAATATATTGCAATACTGGAAGCAAAGAAATTGCCACTTTTTGTCCAAAATTTATAAAAATATTACTCAATTTTTTTATACAGATTTTATTTTTTTCATATTTCATCCACGTTTCAATCATTAGACTAAATTTGCCATTAAATATTTATACGTTTTGTGGCAGGTTTTAGATTTTAATATTAATTTACTACAAAAATATGGTCTCCCAACACTCCTCAGGAGTGGAGGAGCCAAATGGCTGGCTGGCTGGCTCACTGCTGCCAACTAGTGGTCGGAGGCTGAACTACAACATAAAAATGAACTTGAAAGTTTACATTTTAAATCCTAATTAAAACTCAATACATGGCTTTATAGAATCAATACATTAACTGGAAATGAAATATCCATATATTTCAGTGTATTGATATTTTCTTACACCCCTAATCAACACCCAAACCGGTTAAATCATCGTATTTGTACTTCTTCAAGGCACTCTGACTCAAGGTTTCTTTAAAACACTTGGTGACTTTAAGGTGGATGAGGCGCTGAACTGTGGAGCAAAGAGCAAGAAGTCCAGGAAGCGTTGCCACGGTTGGTCCAGGAGGATACGCCGTTCTGTGCCCTGCAAACGTTCTCCACAAGGGGGCGTCGGCGTCATCAAGGTCTGTGTGTTCAGATAACTCGAGCTAACCCCAGCTTAGAAATGTCAGATTTAGTTTTATTGTGATACTGCTGTTGGCAGGCTGGTTGTTGAACACATTTTAAATATCTCCACGCTGCCGTTCTCTCCCAGGTGAAGTCTGGTAAGATGTTTCTTAAGGAATACTACCTCAAGCACAGAGCCCTGAGCGAGAAAGACCTGGACGATCTGGTGGCAAAGTCCAACATGAGTTACGAGCAGGTGAGAGACTGGTTCTCAGAGACCACCAGAAAGGTGGAGGAGGGCAAGGAGCCCTTTAGTGATGAGGCAGAGGAAGGGGAGGGAGACGACGAGGAAGAGGAGGAAGAAGTGGCGACAGCAGAGTGTGCAGACAGCGAAGGAGAAATGGAGGTGAGAGAACAAGGAGAGGCCTCAGATAACGACTGTGTTGGCCACGAAAAGAAGGAGGAGCCTGATGAGGAGGAGGAGGAGGATGAAGAAGAGGAGGAGGATGAAGYGATCCAGGAGGAATCTGAACGTGGCAGCCAATCACAGCCTCAGGCTGAGGAGCAGACATGAACAGGCAGGTGAGTTTCTGCAGCGAGTAAAATGAGCCGAGGTGAACGAAAGAATAATGTGTTTAGGCAAGAATTTAAAAACAGGCCGTGATTTTTAAAAACTTTCAAAATGAGTCCACACAGTGATCATTTTATCACAGAGTCCAACAACACTGCAGCCGAGAATTGACAGTTGTTTTTTTTTTGTGATTTTTTTATCAACACAATTGAGATCATCCATATTTTTTCCCACAGTTTTTGGCACCTATCTCATTCTGCCATTTTTGTTCTATTTCAAAATATTCGACATCAAAACATTTGGACCCTTCAGGACATTTCAGCTACGACTCCTGATATTTCAGCAAATACATTTTGAGATATTTAAGCTTTTCGTCCATTTCTTTTTATTTGAAAATGAATAAAGTTCCATTTAAAATCTATGAAACCCTTTAAAATATTTATAAACTTTTCACCTGTTCTGCTTTTTTACTAATTAGCTAATTTCAGCTTCCTTTAGCTTCTTTTTTATGGTTTTTCTGCTCATTTAAACTTGTTTGTACTTCCATCAGCTTCTTTTTTCTAATTTAGGTTTTTTATGCTTCTTCCAGCTGTTTTCTGCAATTTAAGCTGTATTTTAGCTATTTCAGCTAATTTTAGATTGTTTTAACTAAGTTTCAGCTTCTTGCTGCTTATTTCAGCAAATTAAATTAAGCTCTTTCTGCCTCTTTGGGCTAGATTCACCTTTTTCAGCTACTTATATTTTTTTTGCAAATTTTCTGCTAATTTCAGCTGTTTAAGCTATTTTATTTACAGCAATTTGCAAAATTGTTGCACCGTATTTTTCGGACTATAAGCCGCATCCCCCACCCCCCATCAGTAAAAACAAAAACAAAACAGTACACCCAAAACTGTGGTCAAAAAAGTGAATTCAACATCACGTTTATTTTTAAGAAAAAGGTTGGCAAGTTCACCAGTACATAATAATAATAATAATAATAATAATAATAAACTCTCGGAAAAGAGAGGTCTGGAATTAAAACATAAAAAGCAAACCTTTAGAAATTACCGGTAAAGTTCGGAGGAATAAGGTTCATTTAACTGACCTTATTTTGGTAGTTTTCTTTAACAGTTTCTGGTCCAACAAAAAGTCTCATTCATCGTCCTCCGGCGCACTGAAAACATCGAAGTCCTCTTCAGTTTCGGAGTTAAACAAGCTGAGAAAAGCTGCGTCACATAGCGGTATCTGTTGTCCTCCCGGGGTAATGCTGGCTCTGAAGCTGTGGTGGGAAAGCCCTCCCGCTCCAGCAAATGTCACTGCATGGGATTCCTTCCTCGGGGAGTGCAATGAGGAAAAAAAAAGTCAGCGGCTCTTCACTCTACGTTTATCCACGAACTGGTCCTGGATTAAGCTCCAGAG